ACCCAACCATCTCATGGTTCTGTGACCTTTCAGGACCCTTCCAACCCTACCATCTCATGGTTCCATGACCTTTCAGGACCCTTCCAACCCAACTGTCTCATGATTCTATGATCTCAGTTGGGCTGTCCCAGCTATGCCTGTGCTGAGCATCACCCAGTGCCCTGCGACAAGGAAGAGGCTTTTTTTAATAATAATTGATAAAATATCGTGAGATATTACTAAAATTAAATATTAAATTCATCCAGCACCTCCATGACTTGTGTTATGGCCGCGCCTTTGGGAGATGGCTGCCATTTTGCTTCCTGTGGAGATGCCCTGGCATCCCCCTGTCTTAAAGAACTGCTGCTCCTTAAGCCCTAGCTGCTTTTTAACCATCCTACCCCTCTAAATCTTTAACTTTTGATTGTGCCCTGCTGGCACCACTCTCTGTGCTGAGCTGAGGGTGTGTGCAGTGTGTGCTGGGCGTCCAGGTGGCAGCTGTTGGAGGGCAGAGCGACAGTGGAGCAAACCTGGTGAGGTTCATTACGTGTTCTGTGCCCGGGGAGGAGCAGCTCTACGTGTCAGTGCAGGTTAGGGTCGGAGCAACTGGAATGGAGGTCTGCAAAGGAGGACCTGGGTGTCTGTCCTGGTGGCCACTGGCGTGACCATGAGCTGACAGAGTGTCCTGGTGACCAGGAGTGGTGTTCTGGTTGGCCAGCAATTGACCAGAGGTTGACCATAAGCCAACAGTGTGCTCTTGTGGCCAGGAAGGCCAATGGTGTCCCAGTTGGCCAGCAGGGTGACCGTGAGCCAGCAGTGTGCACTGGTGGCCAAGGTGGCCGACAGTGTGCATCAGGTTGACCAACAGCTGAGCACAGGGTGACGATGAGCCAGCAGCATGCCCCGGTGGCCAAGACGGCTACTGGTGGCCAACAGGTTGACCAGTGGTTGAGCACTAAGTGATGGTGAGCCAGCAGTATGCCCTGGTGGCCAGTGGTGGCCATCAGGTTGAGGAAGAGTTGACCAGTGGTTGATCACAGCGAGACCATGAGCCAGCAGTGTGCCCCAGAGGCTGAGATGGCCAACAGATTGACCAAGAGTTGACCAACAGTTGAGTACAGGGTGACAACAAGCCACCAGTATGCCTTGGTGGCCAAGATGGCTGCTGGTGGCCAACAGGTAGACCAAGAGTTGACCAGCCATTGGCCAAAGGGTGACTGTGAGTCAACAGTGTGACCCGGTGGCCAAGGCGGCTACTGGTGGCCAACAGGTTGACCAAGACTTGACCAAAGGTTGACCACAGGGTGACCAGAAGCCAGCAGCGCCCCCCAATGGCCCTGTGGGGCACTGCACAGAGCACTGCCAACAGGGCAGGGAGGTGCTCCCCCCTCTGTTCTGCACTGGGGGGGCCCCATCCAGAGCATGGGGCCCAGTGCTCCCCAGTTCAGGACAGACTGGGAAGTGCTGGGAGAGCCCCATGGAGGGTGCAGAGCTTGGAGCCCCTCCTGGTCAGGACAAGCTGAGGGCTGGGATCGGAGTGAGGAGGACATTTCTGGTGCCCTCTGCTGTGTGGAAGGGGATGGGAGGAAGGCTGTGTGGTTCAGGGGGCAGGATGGAGGCTGTGCAGTATGGGGAGGGCTGCCAGCAGCTCCTCCCATCCCCAGGTTTGTGCAGCCGTTGTGAGCATTGCTCACACAGCTTTGGATCAAGTGTGGGTTTGTGATTGCTGAAAACCAAAGGGTTTAAGTGCTGTTGGGGTGGGAGCTGTGCTCTACCCAAAGCAGCCCGGTTTTCCCTCTGAGAAGTTTTTAATGTTCAACTGAAGGAAGGAAACCCAGCTGAACCTATGAGGATGTAGTGCACTCACGCAGCTTACTGGGGCTCTGAGGGGCTCTGAGGCCATCGTTGCAGCTGGAGGCAGCTGCTGCACATCTGGTCTGCAATCATTCCAACCCAATACACTGCATGTCTGTTCAGCAGTGCTCCTGCTTGCACCCAGCAGCTCCGTGCATCTGCAGCAGAGCTGAAGTGACCCTGTGTGCCGCCTCTCTTGCAGCGACGTCCTGGCGCTGCCCATCTTCAAGCAGGAGGAGTCCAGCTTGCCTCCAGAGAACGAGAACAAAATTCTGCCCTTTCAGTACGTGCTGTGTGCAGCCACGTCGCCTGCTGTGAAGCTGCACGATGAAACGCTCACCTACCTCAACCAAGGTGGGAACTGTCTGCTAATGCTGCCCTACCACCCGTGTGTGTGCCCTGTGGGGAAAGCAGCTCCCAGCTGCAGCTTTGCAGTCTCAGTGTTGCAGCTCCCAGCTGCAGCTTTGCAGTCTCAGTGTTGCAGCTCCCAGCTGCAGCTTTGCAGTGGGGGTCTTGTAGCTCCCGGCTGTTGCAGATCCCAGCTACGTCTGTTGCTTTGCAGCAAGTGCTGCACAGCAGTGGTGGATGGCACTGAAGCACTGTCACATCCTTTGACAGCAGAACGGTCTGAGCACTGGGGAGGAGCAGCAGGGGATGTTCCTCCCTCCGTGACCCCTCTGCTTCCCTGCAGGGCAGTCCTATGAGATCCGCATGCTGGACAACAGGAAGATCGGGGAGCTGCCCGAGATCAATGGGAAGCTGGTGAAGGTGAGCACAGTGCCTTTATGGCACTTCCCTTTGCTGCTTTCCTGATCCCTCCCCCATGTCCC